AAAAAAAAAAAAAAGCTAACTGTAAATGAAATTTATTTTAGAATATTTCTTCTTCATGTAAAAAGTTTCCACATATAAAAAGCTATCAAAAGAAGTCCTTGGGTGGCGTAAACAGTTGAGTGCTCAACTATTAGCCAAAAGTTTGGTGGTTTGAACACACCCAGAGGCACCTTGAAATACAGGCCTGGTGATCTGTGGCAAAAAGGTCACAGACTTGAAAACCCTGTGAAGTTCTACTCTACACACATGGGGCCACAGTAACTTGGAATCCACAGCAATGGACAAAAACAACATATGCTATCAACAGGAGAAATACAAATGATACTTGAGAAAAGTCCACACCATTAAAGGAAAAATATTAAGGTCCAGTGTAATACATATAAGATAATTCTATATGGGGAATAAATGGATCTGCGTGTATCATTATGGATAAATCCATATATAAATGGATGTATCATTATGAATAAATGTAGATACAGAGACAGACACAGATATGTGTATTGTATGAGCACAAGGTGGTCTATAAGGAAAAACACCAAACTCTTAGCATCATATTCCTGTACTTCTTGTTGTTAGATGCCATCACGTCATACACAACAGAATCAAACACTGCCCGGTCCCACACCACCCTCACAATCTTTGCTATGCTTGAGCCCACTGTGTATATCCATCTTGTTAAGAGTCTTCCTCCTTTTCACTGACCATCGACTTTACCAGGCTTGATGTCCTTCTCCAGGAACTGGTCCCTTCTGATAACCTGACCAAAGTACAAGAGGCAAAGTACTACCATTCTCACTTCTAAGGAGCATTGCATTTGTACTTCCTCCGAGACAGAACTGTTCACTTCTCTAGCCGTCCATGGTACCTTCAATATTCTTCGCCAAGAGCACAATTCAAAGACATCAATTCTTCTGCAGTCTTCCTTATTCAAAATACAACTTTCACATGCATATGACTCTATGGAAAGACCATGTCCTGGGTCAGGCTCACCTTAGTCTTCAAAGTGACATCTTTGCTCTTGAATATTTTTTTTCTTAAGAGTTTGTTTTACATTCAACGTTACATGTACATTTAGTTTCACTCCCCATGTACCATGCCCAACCCTAACGCAGTCTTCTCCCCTCCCTGCCCAGTAACCATCCCCCCTGGGCCCCTCATAGTTAAGTACTCCTGTTTGTCCTGCATTTCTGCCATGTGAATGTTGCCCTTCTAGTGCCCTGTGGTCTATTGTTCTAAGGGATATATTTCCATAGAATATGTGCGTGTGTCACCCTGGGTTGAGTGGTCTGCTTGTTTACTTTTTGTTTACTATTGATCTGAGAGCCAGCCCCCAGGAGTGAGTTTTATTCCAGGCCCAGAATGCATCCCAGGGCCACAGTATTTGGGGGTCTCACTAGACTCCATCTGACCAGTAATTCTGGTGATTATTGAGTTTTTGGATTTTGTTCCACGTTTTTCCTCCCAAATTCAATCAGCACAACAAAATACATAAAAGCCTTATTTCTCATCCTACATTGGTGAGTAGTGACTAGGGTCTTAAAAGCTTTCAAGCAGCCATCTAAGATGCACCTAATGGTCTCCTAGCATCAGAACTGAAGAAGACTGAGAAAAAAAAGGGGGGGGGCATTTGGAATCAATCAGCCCTAGGACACGACAGGCCTCGAGACCAGAAGAACTAGGTAGTGCCCGGCTACCAATGCCAACCACTCAGGAGAAGATCAAAACTGGAGATCCTGGATGGGGGGGGGGGGCAGGGATGTGCTCTTTAACACTTTAAAAGAGGTCTTTTGCAGCAAATTTGCTGAATTCAGTAAGTTGTTAAATTTCTTGGCTGCTGCTTCCATGGGCATTGAGTATAGATACAAGCAAAATGAAATTTCTGACAACTTTATTCTTCTCTCCATTTATCATGAAGCTGCTTATTTGTCCATTTATGAAGATTTTTGTTTTATGTTGAGGTGTTATCCATACTAAAGTCTCCATCTTCATTAGTGCTTTAAATCATCTTCACTTCCAGCAAGTAATATTGTGTCATCTGCATCTCACAGGTTGTTAATGAGTCTTTCTCCATCCTAACGTTGCATTTTTCTTCATATAGTCCAGCTTCATAGATGATTTGTTCAGCATACAGACTGAATAAGTAGGGTGAAAGGATACAACCCTGACACACACCCTTCTAGATTTTAAACCATTAAATATTCCCTTGTTCTGTTCAAATGACTGTCTCTTGGTCTATGTACAGATTCCTCATGAGCACAATTAAGTGTTCTGGAATTGTCATTCTTTGCAATGGTATCCATAATTTGTTATGATCCACATAGTTGAATGACTTTTCATAATTAATTTAAAAAAAAAAAAAAAAAAAACAGGTAAACATCTCTCTGGTATTCTCTGCTTTCAGCCAAGATCCATGTGACATCAGCAGTGATACTCCTCGTTCCCTGTCCCCTTTTGAATCCAGCTTGAATGTCTGGCAGTTCCCTGTCAACACACTACTACAACCATTTTTAAATTATTTTCAGCATAATTTTACTTGCATGTAAAATGATTGATATTGTTCAATAATTTCCAAATTTTATTAGATTACCTTTCTTTGGAATGGGCACCAATATGGCTTTCTTCTAGTTGGTTAGACAGATATGGAGCATTGCTTTTCATCAATTCCTTTAGGCAGCTTAGACTTCTTCCTTCGATGCCATCAGATCCTGAACATATGCTACATCCTGAAATGGCTGACCAAAATTTTTTGGTAGTGTTTATTCCTTCCATCTTCTTTTTATGCATCCTGCATCACACAATATTTTACCCATAGAATCTTTCCATACTGCAACTCGAGGCTTGAATTTTATTCTTCAGTCTTTCATCTCAAGTAATGTTGAGTGTGTTCTTCCTTTTTGATTTCCAACTCAAGGCCTTTGCATATTTTATTAAAATTTTTTACTTTATTTTCTCAAGCCGCCCTTTGAAATCTGTTCACTTCTTTTATTTGATCATTTCTTCCATTCGCTTTAGTGACTTCCCATTCAAGAGTAAGTTTCAGAGTCTTCTGATATTCATTTTGATCTTTTCTTTCTTTCCTATCTTTCTAATCACTGTTTGCTTTCTTTATGTATGACATTCTTGATGTCATCCCACAACTTATCTGGTCTTGCTTCACTCACTGGTGTTCAATGTGTCATATCTATTCTTCAGATGGTCTATAAATTCAGGTGTGATATA